AGACACCAAACAGAACATAGTTTATGAATCAATTTATATAAAGTTAAAGAACAGACAAAACAAATTTATGATGATAAAAATCAGAACCATAGTTGTTTTGGGTGTGTGTAGTAGTAGTGATAGGGTGCAGATTGCCTGGGAGAGGATATGAGGGAGTCTTCCATGTACTGGAAATATCCTGTATCTTGATCTGAATAGTGGCTATGTGGTATAAACATATTTAAAAATTCATTAAGGTGTACATTTTTATGTGCATTTTACTGCATGTAAAAAAAGTTTTTTAAAAGGTTACACATTTAATAGGTGTCAGCAATTATTAAGGATCTGACTGTAGTTTTAGAACTATTGTTTTAGCCAAGGGATTACCTTGAACAATGTGGAGTTAGGTATTCTGAGAGATCCCAGCCTCACTGCTTTGGTTTTGCTTTCACAGCCTTCTAGGCATCATCTATCATTTGAAACAGGGGTGGCCATGCAATTGGCCCTGAACCCTGCACACAAATCAAGGATATTTGCCTACATGTAACACAGAGGGGTGGGGTGAGAATTAGTAGGAAGTGGAATGTTTGACACAGAGACTTCCAGTCGTAGGATGCAACTAGTGAACATAGATATCTTGAAATGGCACCTCTCGGGAACTGTAGTATTGCTCCTCTATAACACCTGTGTGTGAAATGTTGCATAAGGGGGACCCTTTCTATGTGTTAAGGATTTAGCTATGTTAGTTGAGATTACATTCAGAATTGTGTCCTCAAAATTGGGGGCAGAGAGCTGGGAAAGATGGTTTTGTTTCTCCTTGTTTGTGAGATTCATCCATGTTGTCTCACGTAGTAATAGTTTGTTCTTTTTAATTGTGTATATTAAGAAAATGTGTGTGTGTGTGAGAGAGAGAGAGAGAGAGAAAGAGAGAGACAGAGAGAGAGAGAGACTGATTGATTGATTTCAGGAATTAATATGAAATCTAGCTCCAGAAAAATCTAACAATCTTCTTCAACTACAGTAATTAAAATAAGCATCTAAATTGGCCAAGATTTGCATACACAAAATATTTAATGCTAAAAGAAAAGGAGGAACAATTTATACTAGCCTAGGATGCGTGACTCGATTTCTCTGTTTGTTAAGGTACATTGAATCATTCCCACACACTGGGCTGGGCCAAGTCCAATAAATGTGTGCCATTGTTACCTCTCCTCTCACCTTAGAAAACTACAATAAGAAAAATTTAGGCTGTGCTACACAAAGCCCTGATAAAAGGCCAATGCTCAAAGAAAAGGTATGTCATTATTTAATTTTTAAAATGGAAAAACAAATATACAGTTCATATTTGTAAAAATCTTACTTAGTAGCTGGATTAAGTAGAAAGTGTGCACTTATAATTCCCAAACAGAACAGGAATTATGGCCTGCACATAGTATTTTTAGCCTGTGGTTACTGTCTGCTTCACCTGGCCCATCCCTCCACCTAATTGCAGGCAGAATCACTTCCCAGTGTTTACTGTAGAATGACTCCTCTTTCCCAGCATGAGAACAATGGTTTTCTCATACACTTGGAGAGTTTCCTCTAAAAACAGTGGAGGGCTCCCTGAATGATTTTAGGACTGAATCTTTCTTTCTATTTTTTGTTTACTTTCCAAAGGTAATGTGTGTTTATTGTAGAAATCTTAGAAAGTATAGATAAGCAAAATGAATCAAGACAAAAATCATGTAGAATCTGATTAAAATTACTTTGTAGTAATATATTATATTTATATATATATTTATAATATATGTGTATATATAGAGAGAAATAGAGAGCTCATCTTTTCTATATTTCAAAACTTTCTCTTTCATGTAATGTGTGGTCCATATCCTTTACCCTGATTTAATGCCTTTTATCATTTTATTATACTGACCACATTTTATCAAACAAATTCCTTGTCAGACATTTAGACTCTTGTCATTTTTCTTGGTATTACAAACAATACTCCCACAATTATCCCTGGAGACCGAACTGTTGAAAGCATCCTTGATGATTCTCTTAAAACAAATTTCTAAGAGTAAAAATATTGGGTTAAAAAGGACATGTAGACTTTATAGATTGTTGACACGTATCACGAAATTGCTTTTCTGAAGAGTTGCATCAAATCCCACACCAGTTCCCACCATGGGTAAGAGTCACAGGAAACATAATCAAAAAGATCTCACACGAATGCAAGAAACGCAAGTTGTGGTGAGGGCACCATTCCACCTATTTCCTTAGATTTTAATTCAAGAGATTTCCTTTATGCAGAGTTATTTGTAAATTTGGTAACTATGGTAAATTGACACACAGAGGCCATGTGTACTATTCAAGTGATTCAGATTCTACAGTAATTTTTACTATTTTATGTTGCCATGTGATAATGAGCTGTTTTGGTATAATCCCCGAGGGAGTTTCCAGCCAAACTGAAAGGCCTAGACGATTATAGACCCAGAGTGTAGGCTATAAACAGAACTTGACAAGGGTGTAAGGTAATTCGTGCAAACTGTTTCCTCTGGGCAACGGCGTTGTCTGCTATTAAAGAATTTACAAACAAGGGGAGACTCTGAGTCACTTAAATTCAGATTCTTGGATAGGGATGACTGAGGGTCACAGGGCCTTGCCAAAGCCCCCATTAGGTGGGTGGAGGATTTGAATGCCAGTGTGCAACAGTGAGAAGACTCTGCCCCTGGGTAGGGGTGGCAGAGGAGGCAGAGGAAGCAGAGGAGAGGAGTAGGGAAAGCGTGAGTGTTCATGTTAGACTGACCTGGATTCTAATATCAGGTTTTTTCACTAGCTGACGACGTGGCCTTGGGCAGAGTACATAACCTCACTGAGCCTTGACTCCAGAAAATGGAGACAAGTGCTACCTTCAGGGCTGTTGAGAGGTTTCAGGGGCATAATATGTGTAAAACTAATTACAGTAACTGA